CCATGATTAATTTAGAACATTATTATTCTTGTATGAAGATTGTTCATTTTTTATTTTCTTGTCCAAAGAATTTATAATAGTAAGCCTACCCAGAGTGGTACACCACCCACAGTCTGTGAATCTGTGCAACATCCCAGGGAGAAGGAACATTAACATACGCAACAATTAAAAAATTGAAATGTAGTCAGTTACAATGTGTCAATTTCTGGTGCACAGCATACTGTCCCAGTCATGCATATACATACATATATTAATTTTCACAAAAACTACTATTGGAACATGACTTTATCAGGATTTTACAACTTGTTTGCCTACAGAAAATCCTGTCTTTTCCAGAATACTCTGCCTCAAACATTTCTGGGAAGCCCTCAGGACACTTATAAATCAATCATGTGCTCAGCAGACACTGTCCAGTGGGATACTCAGTGTGCTGATTCATCAGCCCTCAATACTTTAATTTCTTTTTTCATTTCCATAATCTGGGTATGTTCATGGGAGCTTGTTGCCCACGTGTGTATCTTCCATCATTCTGGTATGGGGCAGGGGGAGGGTGGGGGCACTGAAATACAAGATTACTTTAGAAAAGCATTCACCAGGTAAAAGAAGGAAATTAGATTTTGATAGCTTGTGACCACCCCACTTCCAACTGTATTTTTAAGTAAGGCAACACTGTTTACAGCCGGATAAATTTTTTAAAATCTTTCTTTTCTTTTTCTCTTCAGTTTTTATTTATTTTGTGGAGGGAGACAATTAGGTCTATCTATTTATTCATTTTAGAGAAGGTACCAGGGATTGAATCCAGGACCTCATTCATGCTAAGCATGCACTCTACCACTTGAGCTATACCCTCCCCCTAGAGCTGGTAAATTTAGAGCATATAATATAGTTTGGGAACTGGGTGAATTTTCTCAGTGTAGGAAGTATGTTTTGGATTGGAGCCTATTTTTTAATGGGTTTTTGGAAATCAGCCCTATACGCTCATTTAGGGGATGAAAGAGTGAGGTTAAATTATCATTTATTAACTAAATCTACTGTCGAGATTCCTGATGGGTAATTGAATTGATTTATTTCTTTTTCATTCCTATAAAATGGTTAAAATGAGAAGCCTGGGGTACTTTAAAATGCCATTACTTCTTTTGTTTTAATTGCCAGGCAATCCCCCAAAACCTTTGCAATTACTTAAGAGTATCTAAGGTAATTCTTTTATTTTCTCAATTCAAAAGAACCACAAAATTGTACTTTTAATAGTAACTCCAGAAAAGGGAGTCAAAATTCATCCCAAGATAATTCCCGTACTCGCTTCTACACTGGGGTAAACACAAATGAAAATAATAGGAGAAAATTCAATGCACCGAACATGAAACTCAGAACAAGAATGTTTAAAGTATTCTGTTAATGGCTAAAAAGAAGTTGCATTCTAAGTCCAATGACCATTTGCCAGGGAGGACCAAAGTTGAGAAATTTCTATTAAAAACATGACTCAAAAAAAACTGCAGAGGCTGCTAATGAAGGAAATGATCTGATACCATTTTCAATTGGTTATTCCTAAGGTCACATGTTCTGGGCATCTTTAAAAGGAAGTTATCTGACTCCTGAGGGTCATAGCACCTTCCTGAAAGCTATAGCTTCCTTCTCACCTTGAAGAATAAGCCCAGAAAGCTCACAAAATGTGCGATGCTTTTGTGGGTACCTGGAAACTTGTCTCCAGTGAAAACTTTGATGATTACATGAAAGAAGTAGGTAAGGAAATTGGTTGGGTGTGTAATTTTTGCTCTGGGCAAGAATGGCTTATGGCTGTTTTTCACTCTGGAAGTACTGGCCAGACATGAAATGCTGCTTTCAATAGAGAGGTCGTGAAAGTAGAAAGTGAGAATCGTTTGTTTCTAGAAACATTCTAGATGTGAATCACAACTAACGCTTCCTAAAGTTAAACTGATATTGAAAAAGGGTGTAAGTGGAATTGTTACGGTGTACAGAAGTGACAAGATTTTATTTCATTGCAAACTTGCATATCTTTGGTCTTCTTAGCTCTTGACTTGTTTTTCCCTTCATTCTCCTTTGCATATAAAATAAGCAATAACTTGGAAATAAAATTATATGTAGTTCCTAGTATGTAATAATTTCCATTTGAAATCAGAAGCACTGTATTTCTCATCTTAATGTAATTTTTTGAGTAATGTACATTAACCAATTATTTTACTGTCTCAAGGTCAACTTCTTAAAATGTGTGATTATTTTATGGGAGAAAGATAAATCTTAATTTCAGGAAATATGTTCCTTAAAGGGCTTGAATATTTGTCTGACCAGAAAATTGCATGGAATGCCATAGAGATATTGATAATGGAGGCTTTCGGGGTTTTGGATTCTGCTAACATTGCCTGTGTGCTGAGCAAATGTTCCCCAGATAATTATAGAGATAAAGCAGAGGAATAGAGAGGCAAGATTTCACTCAGGCAACTTCTGTCTTGAAAATCCATCTTTCAAGGGGAGGCCCCCTCCCCCATCTCCCATGCATGATCAAGTTTACCCAGAAGTAGCAAACTGGGGAAATATTTTTTTCACAATATCTTTATTAGGGGTTATGATTTTCTCCCTAATTCTTAAGAGTTAACTTTCTACTAAATCTTATAGTTTATATTTTGCTTGTCTCTAACTACTGTTTTCCTTGTTTATAGGCAAGAGGGGAATCAGGGACTTCAGCATGAATGATATCTAGCTTTCAAGAATACCCACTACTTGTATTCGATTAAACTAATTAACACACATTGACATAGGCATGCCGGGATTTGAGACTATTTAGCTAGTGATTTTTAGAAACATTTATACTTTTAATATTTTTTATATAAATTCTCATGTGTTTTAAAATTATAAAGTGCTGATGAAAATGAAAGATAGTAAGATGCCTCCTGAACTTAGCTGCTCTAATTGATGGTCAGGAAGGACAGAATCAAGCAAGTGGAAAGTATGATTTTTCTTAAGCTCAGCAAGTCTGGAGTCATACCCGACATTGCATCCATTCAGCAGGTTGACTCACTCCATATATTTGATGTTATATTTTGTAACAGAAACAGGACTTGGTGAATCAACATATTGTCTTCCCTCTTGTCTCCACTTTCAGACAGGGAGCTAAAGCATCGCATGTTTTCTATAATATTTCTCTCCCTGATCCTCACTATGTCTAAAACCTGTGGTACCTGTAAGAAGCTTTTAGTCAAAGAAGTA